CTCTAATACTGTTCGAGTCTTCAAAGTTCCAAAGCTAAACTTTGATGCGATCAACTATTACGACATGATCGATTGGCATGCAACCGAGATCACAGAGCCACCCCTTACAAAAGATATCACAACTGAAGCTTTAGAACAGATGATAATGGATATTCCTAATAACATTGAATTTTTGAAGTTGCCTTGCCATACTCAGGCAGTAGAAAGAATGATAAAATTAGTTACAGAAGCGTCACTTTCAGTTTGTGGAGAAAAAGCAAGAGATGGCTTTATTCGTACTAAACTTGCATCTCAAAATGATATACCAAAATTTGAAACTAAAAAACACTTCATTATTTAAGTCTTTGATGTGAACTAGTAAACACTAATGTTTTGTTTTTCAAGATTTAAATGATTTATTTGAGTTAATAACATGTTTAATTTGATGATATTGTTTTGTTTACTTTTGAAATGCAATTCATAAACAGTCTCCAGCCGAGAGGAACCTCAAAACAATGTTCAATAAAATTCAAAATTTACACATTGAAATAACTCGATAAAAGACATATTTCCCAACCCCAGGAAAAGTAAAAAGAAGAAAAAAATTTTTTTATGTATAAATTCGCTCCACCCTATTGCATATCCAGGTTATAATATGGAAGTTTGTAGGGAATAGAAAAATATGGGAAGTGGATAAATTTTAATCAAAATTTTATCCTTTTTTAAACTCAAAATAAAAAATTTGACAAAAATACTTGCCGACATCGTCATCACCATCAGATGGAAGACCATTATCGATGATGCTGCTTATCTCTTCACTGTTAGCAACCATGTCATCAAATTCATCATCATCCATTTTCCTGTTGAAAATTATTTTTTCAATTTAGAGGAACTGGGAAGCATGGGAATGTTAGAGTACAAAAAATGTAACACCGAATGATTGCATGAAATTGTATTGTACTGTGCAAATTGCATAATGTATTTATTGTATTGTGCTCATACAATAAGCACTAGTAGTTTATTTTACTAAAATCTACCTACCTACCTACCTACCAACCTACCTACCTAAGTTACCTGTACACTGTACAAAATGCAAATATTGAATTTAAAACTATCATCAATAAAAACCAAGCAACTCAAAAATTGTCAGACAAACTAGGCAAATCAACAATTGCCATGCCAGTTGGATATAATTACCAATATCCAAATAGTTGAAGCCATCATCAATTGAGATGTGGTAACTATAGGACACGACGGTCCAACATACAAAGAAAAACATTTACAGTTTTTACACTTAAAGCCATCAAATCAAAATTTGGTGTCGTGTTCAACCAGATTACCAGGGCAGATGGCAAAAAATTTAAAGAATGTTGCCTAATATTACTCAATGCATCACAAAATACTGATGATTGACATTTTAAATATCCTGTTAATTTTAATAAAAATAAAATCAGTAATTGCATGCCGAAAGTACCAGTAAACAGCTGTGTCTATTAAAAGATGAATTAAATATTCACCTGCTAGAACTCAACTGCAATGTTCACCCCCTTGAACCCATGGCACCAGAAACCAAAAATATATTAAAAAAGTATGATTCAGTGGGACAACGAATGTTGCAGGAGCTGATAGGACAGCAGTGTTCTTTATTTTATATACAATTTATCTAAACTCTGGTAACTTTTTAATAATTTAATTGTTAATAATTCATTTTCAAAATGTTATACGTTGAAATTTATAACACAGTTACAGCAAAAAAGAGGATACAATATACATCCACAATCAAATCATTCTTCTTAAAAAAATCATAAATACTTAACTTAATTAATAAAAAAATCAATTAAAGATTAAGGTCTGATATCTCTGGCTAGGTTCATGTTTAATTAACTGCTTATAACTCTAAATTAAGATATATTAATTGAACCTAAACGCCCCGGTTTACGATCGTCTTCTTCTTCTCGCTTTTTCTTAACTCGTGTTAAACACTCTTGCCAAATCTGCTTTTGCTTTTTCTGGTCCTTTTCTCTGGAACTCTCTACCTACTTCTCTGACTACTTCTCCATCACTTGCGAAGTTCAGAGCGGATCTCAAGACCCATCTGTTTTCAAAATTCATTAAGGAGCGCTGTTGAACATCGCGGAAATAGCGCTTTATAAGCTAATTGATTGATTGATATATTATTGTTGTTGTGGTAGCAGACACACACGCATTTTTAAGTTATTTAAACATATCGGAAGAGGAAAAAAAAATCAATTTTTTTTAAAGATTTACTACAGCAACTAGCCAACCAACTGGTCAAGGTCAACTCAACATCAACTGCATACTCAACCGTTATTCGGGATGCCGAGTGTCAAAAGACCAGAATTTTAGTTTCTGCTTAATCAAAATTCTAAAATTATTTAAAACTTTTGGATAAATTTGTTACTTTCATAGTACTTAAGTAATATTTTAAATTAGAACTTTTTTGCAAACAATTCAATAACCCGCCAAAAGTTTATTGTTTATTTTATTAAGTTTAATTTTAACTGAAGATAGTGGATGCTCCTGAAAAAGCCTTGAATGTAAATTTAAATGATGTATAAAACGTGTCAAAAGTTTGAATCAAATAAACTGAAAAACGAACACAAAATCGTCATTAAAAATTGAAATAGTTGTTATATAAACAACTGATCTTTTTATAAAGTTGCCTATGACAGTCTCAACAATCCCTTAATCTCCTCGGTCCACTATCAAGAAATTAACGTAATTTATTTATTTTTTCGATCAATACGGTAGACATATGATCTAATTAACATCTCTGCAAGATTTGAACCGAACACGATCCCACGACCGCGTCCACCACTCCCGACCCGACAAAGCCCTATATGCGGACAATGGTATTTGCAGTCAGTTAGCGTTAACGAAATACCAAAAAAGCACAACTCCCACAAGACGCTATTTATTTTCACAGTTTATTACTACAATTATTTACAAATACAATATTTTTTATTATGTATCTTCGTGAAATTTTATAAAACAATCACGTCCACTAATCACACACAAATAAACATTACACTTCACACACATCACCCTAGTTTTTCCGCTACAATCTTTTTATCGACATCTCATGGCATTTTTCAGATCCATCATTTTCGGGAAATAGCCAGATCTTTTTCTGTTGGGTGTTAGTGAAATAGTTTTACTCCTTTTGGCAGGAGGTTGATCATCGTCGCCACCGTCATCATCAGTTTCAATGTGATCCTCTGAAATCATTGTATGGGCAACTTCAACACGAAATTGCAAGAACTTTAAAATGTCTTTTTTTTTGTCTTCTGCCATTACCCTTTTTCTGCGATACAGCAGCCAGCAGTTGGTCAGAATCAAATCTAAAAAATGGAACAAGACACATATTGTCCACTTTTTTGTCTTTGCATTTAACATGGTAAAATAAAAACATTAAAAATCAATACAAATCTGATAAGTTAAAATAATTAGTTGGGTTCCGCTTACCTACAATAACTCACCATCCGGTATTGTTTGGCAAGAGCAGCACCAGCAAATGGAACCATTGGTTCGTCTACTGCCACTTTTTCGTATCTTGACAAATGTAAGCACTCTTGCAGGATATGCTCAACGAACGCCCTTACCTTCCTAAATTTATCCTCTCTTTTTTGTTTCCTCGGTGACATCATTGTCAATCACCATCCCCAAACTAGTACGTAAATTAAAAAAGTGGTTTTTCGATATGGTGTCAGCAATTAGTGGGATTTTAAAACTATTCGACCAGTACATTTTCATTTGAGGAAACCAATGCACGACATCATCACACAAACACCTAAAAATTGACGAATTTCAGTTGGTGATGTCTTTAAATTAAACTTGTACTAGTTTTGCTCACAGATATGATGTTCGTGCAATCAGAAATTGAATTTAGAAGTTCGTCATTAATGTAACTTTGAATATATTGAAATGGACACCAATCAGGCCTTTCCATTGAATCAGGTTGGTTAAACTTCTAAATCAAGTCTATGAAAGAGGCTTGAATTTTTTGCTAATAAAGTTGAAATTATGATTGATTCTAAATGAATTATTTTGAATTTTAAATAGATTTACATTTTTCTAATTTAAGCTACGCTTCAGAAACCCGTTTTATCCAAACACAAAATAACTTTATGAAAGATAAAAAAAACAAAAATCAATAAAAACGTGACAGTTATTATGTGTTTTACAAAAAAAACGCACATACAATCATGTATAATAATAAAATAGATACATAGCTGAATTATTTTCATCTAATGTTAAAGTTGCGTATCGTAAGCTACTACCAAATTTTAGTTGTCATTGTAATAATTAGTCGTAATATATAAAGCAAATCTTTAGCAATAATTGTCAACCAAAAATACACACATACATAAAATAATAGTTGTACTTTGAAAAGAAAATATATTTTTTAACTTATTATGACATATAGTTAAGGAACAGTACAAAACATAAATTAGTTACATAATAACTATCGTCTGTTTTAAAAGAATATTGCAAATTTTTATGCTGAAATTTGATAATCCGAATAATTATTTTTAAAATATAACTGACCTTGAATAATTTATTAAAAATTATTATAATTTTCGAAATTTAGAAAATTTAAAACTTATGATAAACTGCCTAAATGTAACGCGTAAACATTGATTTGATCGAATATATGCAATGCAAATATAATCTATATTTAATTTAAAAACAGATAATGTTCGTTTGGTTTATATATATATATATAAATATATATATATTATATATATATATATATTATATATATACATATATTAAAAAAGTTGATAGTTCGAAAATAAAAATGAATAAATGATGATTCACAAAGAGAGTGATCGTCTAGGGCATAGCACTTGCTCCTCTGTCCGATCTGTCCGACCTGTCCGTTAACGTCACTTTTACTCCATTCTGTTTTTATTTTTTTGTTCACATTATCATTTTAATAAAAATAAATATACATCAATCAAATTTGTTGTAAAACAGTATTGATTTATTTGTGAGTTATTTGAGAGAAGTTTCTTCTCTCAGTTGTTCAGTTTTTATAGAGGTTATTCTTTTTTTGTATGTCAGTAAGTTGGTTGAAAATAATTAATATAGCAATAAAAAATTTGAATGTGCATTGTGGGAGGTACGCTAATGCAAATGCAAGTAGTGTTTCTCCAAAAAACAACCCAATAATGAAGGTAAAACTTTAAAAGAAAAGAAACATTTTAGAAGGCATATTGAATGAGCTCATAAATTTAGCAGCGGCTCCAATTGGGAATTAAATATAAAACGTTTTTTTACAGCTGAAAACTAAACAGTTCTAACGAATGTAGAGCTCATGTTATTTATAAATATATTGATTTTCTCTTTGTCACGAGTTTGTTAACGCAGCATTCTTCCTATGTTATAGAGTTATTAATATCTGCTTCATAAAATTAAAATATTTTTGCTGAAAATGTAAAGGAACTTAAAGCAGAATATATTTAAAGAGATAATTTATGTAAATTTGTAAACTGTTTAACAGTATTTAAAAAGAAGACCAGACCGTACACAAAAATAAAAAAGTTTATGAAGAAATTTAAGAAGATTAATTTAAAGAAAAATATAATTACTATTGCTAAAAGTGGATAAGCAACTTCGGTAAACTACAGCTGAATATATTATCAACAATAAAGTAATTTAATAAAAAGTTTTAATAAAATTGTTTAAGGAATTTCTAAATAAAACGTACATTAGATACATGTTATTTTGTAGACTGCATTATATACAAGTTGCAAAAAGTAGGCACAGCATTACAGTAGACCAAGTACATGATATATCATGCAAAAGAAACAGCATGCTACGGAGGATACATATGCAATGGAGCAGCAGTACATACCACACCATGCAAGCATGCTACGGAGGATACATATGCAATGGAGCAGCAGTACATACCACACCATGCAGATGGAAGAACATAATTAACTACCCACCCCACCAGGAGATCCGATGGATCGGGCAACCGAAACACTCGATCGATTTCTTGTTCGAAGTTTAGAAAGGGAATTTTCTGCAGAATCTGCTCTTTCTTCAGCTTCTTCAAAATCGTGTTGAACCTTGCGGTACTTTGCTAAGTTAATTGCAGCTATTTCTTCCTTTTGAAATAAACAACAAAAAAATATTTAAACTGAAGGATGAATTGTTTCATTGTTCTAATGTTGCTTATGGAGTGATGCAGTTTATCATGACTTATTTTGTTTAATATTTATGTGAGTTATGTGTTTCATGTGCTTTTTTAAAGGTCATAACTAAGCTCAGCTATCCTTTATGTGTTTGATGCTAACATTGTGCTTGACTGAGTTACAAGTTTGTTTGAATGGTTCAAAAAATGATGGTGTTGTGATTGGGGAATTAAATAAAATGTGAATAAAAGTGTAGCAGAGAGGTATGAAAAAGTGGTGGATGTTGGAAGGGCTTGCAAAATTGGGCAGGTAAATTGGAATTGTGCGAATGAAGTTAAAGATTTAGTGTATTATTTGACAATTCTTTGAAATTAAAAAAAATTTGTTGTGAATAACAAAGTGTATTCCATGTTGATTGTAATTGTTAGGTTTTTTCATAATCTGTCAAAACATTCGTTTTAATGTTGCAATTGAAATATTCTACCAGCGTGTTGTCACCTGGAGTATTGATGGGAAGAGATTCAACAGAGACTACAGAAGGAGCAAACAGAACGGTACAAAACTCAGACAATTGAAATAATTTTACAGACTTAAATTTTTACAACTGCCAGAAAACCAGAAGATCATAGATGATTTGATTAAGGCGTATAATCTGCTGAAAATACAAAAATGAGCGCAATCTTTAGCTGCAACTGCATGAAGGCGTTAGTTTGAGAGGTCAAAATTTAAAGCTGGATACGTTATCTGAGAAAAAATAATTTTCCAACAGAGTAGTGCCACTATGAAAGAGCCTGCCATCTGATGTTGTTGATGCTGATGACGTGTTTCATTCAAAGGCAGATTTGATTCTTTTATGAAAAACAAAGAACGTTTTATATGACCAAACTGTTAAATCTGATTTGATGGCATTCATTTTTTGGAGAATTTTGCATGTTGTTTAGATTATAGACAAGAGTGCGTCATGAATTCCAGTCTCAACTTTTACTTTTAACATTATGTAACATTGTTATGGTTGTTTTTTTTTTGAAAATTATAAGCAATTTTTAAAAAAGTTTCAATATTTACCGCTTCTTCGACTTGTCTTTTGTAGGTTTTAATTTTATTTTGCAATGTGTCGATTATGCCATTCAATCTTTCCTGATTCTTTTTATCTTCATCTGTTTGCATTGTTAATTCTTTCAACCTGGAAATAAATGAAATTAATAAAAAACGTGAAATTAATAACAGAGTAGAAAAAATTCTACCTTCGATCTTGTCTTCTCAAGTTTTTCTCAGTTTCTTGATGCTTCTTCTGTTCTGTCTCTAGTTCAATTTCCAGCTCTTTCACCTTTTGTTCTAATTTCTGTAAACCCTTCTTGCCACCTTAAAAAAATCAAACTATGTTTAGTATGTTTATAACATCAAAAAAATTTTATTTTATATTAAAAAATTTATTTTTAAATCATTCTTGAAAGTTTGATCAGATTGTGCGAATTCATTGATAGCAGCTGGGCAGATGGTATAAATTGTACTGATCATTAAACAAAAAAAATTTTTCAACACTGTCTAACTTGGAGTTTAATGCAAAAACATAACTGGAAAATCAATTTAATGCCATTATAACTTAACCCAAAAAACAACAAAAAACTTAATCGATTTTATTTGACAAAAATAGAAATAATTTAAAAACATTTTGTACTCTTAATTTCTCCAAAAAAATTAACAAATTCCAAATTCTTTTTATCTTCAAAAACCTCGGAAGGCAGACGATTCCATGTCGTCGAGGTGTGCCTGGAGTTCCCTCAGCTGCTGCTCCATAATCCTTTTTGATTTCTCCACTTGGTTGACTCGATCCTGTTCATGACGTAATTCTTCCGTCAGACGGATGAGCTCGGACGTGGCCTTCTTCGACTGCTCCTCTAATGATTTCGCTTCTGCTGTTTGATCTTCCAGATCACACTAAAGTGGAGATTAATGTTTTGTAGAGCCATTAAAAAAACAAACAAATAACTCAACAACACAGAAACGAATTAATTAATTAATTATTTGTTGGAATCTAGTTTTTATATTTTAACGAATTATTTAATCGAATTAAGTTTCAAAATAACTTGAAACGTTTGCTTAAAAGCTTTATATCATTTTTTTAAAATGTTTTTTAATGGCTTACAGTTAACAGAACAACGTTTGCATTAGATGAAGCATTTAGACAGCGCCTGATCGAAGGGAGAAGAACAATCATTTAAATAATGTTGGACCTGCAGTGCTTGTATTTCCGCCTCCAGCTTTCTCTTCATAGCCTGCATGGACGCATTGTTGGTTGTTAAGTCAGATATACGATCTACCGCATCGTGTAGCTCGTTCTCTAAGGATTTTCGAGTTCTTTCTGAGGTCTCCAGCATTGTTCTCAGTTCTTCAAGTTCACCTTAAATTAAATTCAATACAATTTATTAATTGACAAATGATGGTGGAAAGATTTAAAGGAGTTTCCCTCCAATAATATGCGATATGTGATGAGTGGTTTC